TTTTTTTTTTTTTTTTTTTTTTTTTTTTTTTTTTTACAGGCCTGTGACACCACATAATGGCTAATTTTTTCCCCTTAAATCTTAGGCCTTAAGCAAGAATACAAGAATACCTTAATTCCATTTTTCCATTTTTTTTTCTTTCTCCTTAACAGGATATTCATATTGACAAAGAAATTTAAAAGTTTAGGAATGCACTGAAGTCTACTTCTGATTATTGGGTTTTTCCACAGTCTCGTTTTCTCTTCTCTCTGCCAGACTCCAGTTGTACAGAATGCAGCATCTATTGTTCAGCCATCTCCTGCCCATGTGGGTCAGCAGGGCTTGTCCAAGCTTCCCTCCCGGCCTGGGGCTCAAGGGGTAGAGCCTCAAAACTTGAGAACATTACAGGTATATGACCCATACTGGGGTTATCATGTTGGAGGGCACTGTCTATCCTGTGTCTGACCTCACCATGGCAAAGGTGCTGTTACTGGTCCTTCATGGAATGATTTAGTCTGCAGTAGAAAAATTAATGACCTTCAGCTTTCTGCTGTAATTTTTCTGCTCTAGGGAAGGGTTATCTTATACAATGATGGCAAACATTGTAGAGCTTTCATGATAACAGCTAGCTGCAGCACTCGTGCCATAGGTTACCACCACCGGCTTATACCAAGAAAGCCAGGGATTTGCAGCTGCTACTCAGCATTAGAGCGGTCCAGTAGCTCATCAGGCAAGATGGCTCCAACTGTGTCCTGGGGGTTCTGCTCAGCTGGGCATTCGTTACAGGCAGTATTTTCCCTTTTGCATTTTATGTAACATTACACCACCTATGACTAGTTTATCCCTCCTCTTCCTTTTCAGGGTCACAGTGTCATTCGTTCAGCGACCAATACCACCCTCCCACACATGTTGATGTCTCAGCGTGTTATTGCACCAAATCCAGCCCAGCTACAGGGTCAGCGGGGCCCACCTAAGCCTGGCCTTGTACGGACCACAACACCCAACATGAATCCTGCCATCAATTACCAGCCAGTAAGAGAGGCCCTAATGTGAAAACAGAGAAATCTTTTATTGACTTTTCTTGTTAAAAGAGCCAAAAGTTTTGAGTTTTTGTACATAGAGAAATTAGGACACTATAGATGATTTGGGTGTTGTGTTGTTGTTTTTTGGGGGGCTTATCGTTGTTTTGATTTGGTTTAGTTTTTGGTTTTTTGGAGACAGGGTCTTGTTATGTAGTCCCTTCAACTCACTGTGTAGCCCAGGCTGATCTCAAACTCACAGCAATCCTCCTGTCTCAGCCTCTCAAGTGTTGAGATTACAAGTATGCACCACTGTGCCCAGCTAGGTTTTTTGGGTTTTTTATTTTGTTTTGTTTTGTTTCTTGGTTGGTTTTTTTTGTTTGTTTGCTTGTCTGCTTGTTTTTTAGAACCAGGGATTGAACTCAGGACCTTGCGCTTATGAAACAGGTGGTAGCACCACTGAGCTAAAATCCCTGGCCCTGGTTGGGTTTTTTTGAGGAAGGATGTTGCTGTGTAAGCCAGGCTGGCCTGGAATTTGCTATCCTGCCTCAGCCTCCCAAGTGCTGGGTTACAAGCCTGTCCTGCCCTGCCTAACTTTGTATGGATCTTGAACACAGAACATTCCCAGAAGTGGAGTCCTGAGACTATGATAGAAAGTATCCCCAGTGTCTCGGGGCTTTCTCTCTCTCTCTGTCTCAGCAGTCTCCACGCATTCTTTGTGTGCCCGAGTTCTTTTTCAGTGAGCAAGGTAGGTACACCGTTTTGTGGGAGCTAAGTGGTCCAGGTTAGGGTCAGATAAGAGTTGATCTTTCCCACACATCATTGTGACTGACACGTGCTCTCAATCTGTTGTAGCAGTCAAGCTCTTCTGTCCCCTGTCAGCGCACAACATCTTCTGCCATCTACATGAACCTCGCCTCCCATATCCAGCCAGGAACCGTGAACAGAGTGTCCTCTCCACTCCCTAGCCCCAGTGCCATGACTGATGCTGCCAATTCACAGGCTGCGGCCAAACTGGCTCTTCGCAAGCAGCTGGAAAAGACGCTCCTGGAGATCCCACCCCCAAAGCCTCCCGCTCCCTTGCTTCACTTTCTGCCCAGTGCAGCTAACAGCGAGTTCATCTACATGGTAGGCTTGGAAGAAGTGGTACAGAGTGTCATTGACAGCCAAGGTAAGATTAGATTGTTTTTTGGTTTGGTTTGGCTTGGTTTGGTTTTTATTTTTTTGGCGGGGGGGCGGGTCATAGCTATGTAGTTCAGGCTGGCCCAGAACTCATTATTTTAGCCCAGGCTGGCCTCAAACCTGTGACAATCCTCCTATCTCAGCCTTCTAAGTGCAGGGATTATAGGCGTGCACCACCATGCCCAGCTGTGTTGAATTATTATATTCAGTTCCTGGCCTTTGAGTGCTTACAGTTGAGAAAATATGTATGCTGATATCTATAGATAGCTTAAAAACCACTCACATTTTACAGCTGTAAAGCAGCACTGACCACACTGTCAATACCATACAGTCTACACGAAAGTATTAGGCTTACATTCCCAAACATTCTAATATGAGTCCTAAAGGAACACCTCACAGTAGAGGGAAGTACTTAAGAGGATTCACTGTTGGCTGTAAAAAGATCACAGAGTGACACATAACTAAAAGTTGTATATAAAAGGAGTAAGGAGTGGTGTAAGGTAAGCAGATGCTAAGAAGCAAAATTACTGGTTAGGTTAGATGGAGTCCTTTTTTTAGAGATAGGGTCTACTATGTAGTTGAAACTGACCTGGAACTCACTATGTAGCCCAGGCTGATCTTGAACTCACAGCAATCCTCCTGCCTTAGCCTCCTGAGTGCTGGGATCACAGGTGTGCACCACCACACCCAGTTTAGGTGGAGTCCTTTGATTCTGAGTTGACCCAGTGTTTTCTCATTGTGATAAAGTAGGAAACATGGATTTTTGTTCTAGCTTTGTCAGTTACAGGAGCTTTATTTATAGTTTCCTTGTTTGTAAAATGATAGTGGTATTGTTGCCATCAAGTGAAATAACATTTTCCAAGTTATAGGGTTTTTCTGTTTTGTTTTATGGTAGTCTCTTAATTTAGCAGCAGAAACTCCTGGAAAAGACTATTTAATGAAGATAAACACAAGGGAGAGGAAATTTGAAGCCACTGTTAATTCTTTCTTTTGGCATCTAGGCAAAAGCTGTGCTTCCCTCCTGCGGGTCGAGCCCTTTGTGTGTGCCCAGTGCCGCACAGATTTCACCCCTCACTGGAAGCAGGAAAAGAATGGTAAGATCCTGTGTGAGCAGTGTATGACCTCTAACCAGAAAAAGGCTCTGAAAGCTGAACACACCAACCGGCTGAAAAACGCATTTGTTAAAGCCCTACAGCAGGAGCAGGTAAGAATTCTGCCTCCTACCCCCCAGCCACCTGTATGAGGTTGGTTTTACCAAAGGGTTATTGCTTCCAGGTTAGAGGGTTTACTTACTTACCATGTGATCGCCACAGACCTCTACACCTGGAAGCCTAGGTTATTTTTCCTCCTTTATTATTATTCTGTCTTTCCCATTTCCATTTGACTCTTTCTGATAAAAACAGTAGTACCTGGTAATGAGGCAAGTGCCTGTAATCCTAGCACTCAGGGAACTGAGGATCACCACGAGTTTAAGGCCAGCCTGAACTACAGAGAACAAAAAAAGAAAAAAACATAGCATATATGGCTGGGGTTAAAAGAAGGGATTGAGGTTTAAGATTCTTGTTTTTTTTCTGGCTGTCGTGGTACACACCTATAATCCTACCATTTGGGAGGCTAAGACTAGGATAGCAGTGAGTTTGAGTTTGAGGCCATCTTGAGCTACATAGTAACTTCAAGGCCAGCCTGCGCTCCAAAGTGAGATTCTGTCTCAAACACCCCACCCCCACCCCCACCCGCCAAAGACATTTAGTTTTCCCACAGTGCTGAAAAATTTCTCTATTCTCACCTTTATTTTCTCCTCATCAAATGGATTTTGGTGAAAGGAATTTGCATTTGTGTAAGAAATCTTTGAGAGAAATAATTATCTATAGTCTATACCTGACAAAGAAGTGATAATGATGGGGTTGGGGGTTTAGCTCAGTGGGTGCTGCCACCTGCCTCACAAGCACAAGGTCCCGAGTTCAATCCCTAGTACCCCAAAAAAAAAAAAAAATGATAAAGGGAAGAGGAGATTATAAAGTGCCTTAGTGAAGTAGATTGTGCTGCGGTGTGTGAATATCTCCTCTAGTATTACAGAGACTGTTTTGAAGAGGGAAAAATCTTTTGGTAGACTTAGATCTTCTTCATCCCAGTTTCCCACTCCATTTTTCAGAGTACTTTTGGGTAAAGTCTTTCTAGAAAGTAGGCAAAATACAAATAGACCCTCTTTCAGGTACATTGACATACATGTATAATCCAGGTGCTCAGGAGACCGAGGCAGGAGGATTGAAAGTCTGAGCCCAGCATGGGTAACTTAGCAAAACCCTGTCTCAAAACAAAAAGGACTGTACTGGGCTGCATAGTGAGTTAGGCAAGCCTGGAATACATAGCAAGACACTGTCTTCAAAAAAAAAAAAAATTTTTTTTAAGTGTTGGCCAAGTATGGTGGCGCACGCATGTAATCCCAGCACGTGGCAGGCTGAGGCAGGAGAATTGCCGAAAGTTCAAGGCCAGCCTAAACTACACAGTGAGACCCTGTCCTCCCTCTCCTCTGAAAAAAAAAAAGTTCTGGGAATATAGCTCAGGACTCCCTGGTTGCAGTTCCTGATACTACAAAAAAACTAAATAAATGAAACTTCAACATAATTCATCAGCCTAAATTACATTAGCTAGCTCATTGTCACCACCCAGCTTCCTCTAGCTGTTTCCTAGGAGCCTTCTTCCTCCAGCTAGCTAACAGTGTCAGACATCAGACTTCCAGACTTCCAGGCTTTCTGGCTAAGATATTGGTTGCTGTCCTGCCCAGCCTGATGTGATGACTCCCAACAGGAAATTGAACAGCGATTACAGCAGCAGGCAGCACTGTCTCCTACTGCAGCTCCAGCTGTATCCAGCGTCAGTAAACAAGAGACCATCATGAGACATCACACCCTTCGGCAGGTCAGGAACTTTCCCCTGCCCCTGCATTCTCTCGGTTTGTCCTTCTGTGAGAACCTCGCCTCTCTTCTGAACTCCTGTGTCTGCCTCCCTTATAACGTTGCACCTTGACAAAGTCACGTCATTTGTCATCTCCATTTGCAGGCTCCGCAGCCCCAGAGCAGCCTCCAGCGTGGCATGCCCACATCTGCCCGCTCCATGCTCTCCAACTTCGCCCAGGCACCCCAGCTGTCTGTGCCAGGTGGCCTCCTTGGTATGCCAGGTAAGAGCGGTCAGCTGGTTCGTTCATTTCTTCAGCTGCCCCTTTGGGGTAATTGTTCCTTCTTTGTTTTCTATTCTTTCTTCAGGGTGTACAGTATTTCCTTGCTCTTTCAGCAAATGTCTGCTGTTTTGGTTTGGTGGTCTATTGTTGTAATTGTTGTTTTTAAGGTTTAAGACAGGGTCTTGTTTATAGTTCAGGCTAGCCTTGAAGTTGGATTCCTCCTGTCTCAGCCTTCCAGGTACTGGGATTACAGGCCTGTGACACCATGCGTGGCAGCACATGTTTGCTAAACTCATGTTACATACCCGCCACGAGGATTGCAGTGGTGAAAACGTAGCCCTGCCATTATCATGCAGTGGCTCTGCCCTTATAGGGCATGCGAGTATTGCTATCTTGACTTCGACAGCAGGGTCACCTGTCCTGTTTTAGTCATCCAGGGGTGCTTCTCCACAGCCTGGGGCCCCAAATCAGAACAGATCTTGTCTTTAGCATTTTTCTCTCATTTTACCACATTTGTGTCATTATGCCCCTCATTCCTGGTAGGATTGAAATTTCAGGAAGACCTCTTTCTCTAAAGCTTGGGAGTAGGAAGGGAGTAGCTGCTGAAGCAGAGCTAGCTAGGTCTGCGCTGGTGGTGGTAACAGCTCCTGTTAACACCCCATCTCTACCTGTGCGGCCCTAGGGTAGTACCAAAAAGGTACAGTGATTTCATTTCCTCTTTTAATACTCCACCTCCACTTGTGTCTCCTTCATCTAGGTGTCAACATTGCCTACCTGAACACTGGCATTGGAGGACACAAAGCCCCCAGTTTGGCAGACCGACAGCGTGAATACCTTTTAGACATGATCCCTCCTCGGTCTATATCGCAGTCCATCAGTGGGCAGAAATAACGCCTGGTCCACCTGCACTGCCCCAACGTTGAATCCTTCACCCTTTTTCTCTCCCATTGCCCCAACTTCCGTCGCATGCAGTGCCTGTACTGGTGCCTACCATACACGGAAAGCAAAACTGAAAAACAGAAGACAGAAACAGAAATCAGCGAGAAAACGCAACGCCCTGCCCCGCCATCTCCCCTTTATTTCACACTGCTGCGATCTGTTCTCCTGCCGCTCTATCTTCTCTCTTCAGTTTTCTTTAACAGCGAAGTGGATCTTCGCCTCTGATGGAGGTGAGGATGAGGTCCTGGGAGAATCTAACCTTTTGACGTGTGTTTCTAAAGTTTGTTTTATGCTATAATTATTACCCTTTTTAATTATATTGTATGTCCTTCCTTTGTTCAGTGGACAGTTAAATCTTTTTCCCCCCAATCTTTTTTTTTTCTACCTTTTTTTTTTTCTTAAATGTAAATGACGTTCAGTCCAACAATCAGAGCACTGCAGATTGTAGTAGGGTCTCGGCTACCCAGCAGGACGCAAGCGGGAGTGTTGGGGCAGAGGTGTGGGATGCACTTAACCTGAGCGGTCGGGTGGTGGCGTCAGCCGAGGAGGAGCAGAACCCCGCTGTGGGTGTGTGGGGCTGGACATCTGAGGAGCTGTGTTCTAGTATTAAAGTCAGGCTTGAAGAATGAGCGGGAGGAGCCTGGAGGAAGACGCTTTACATAGCCACCCTGGAGTTCACCCGTGGGAGAGGGGCAGGAGGAGATTGATGGGAACGTAAGGCTAAGTGGAGGAGGACTGAGGCCCCACCCGGCCTTCCACGTGTGCAGAGGGAGCCTCGTCTGATCCCAGGAGCACTGTCTGCCCCAGGCCCGGGAACCCAGACTGTTCCATCTCGTGTTCCTGAAAGAGTTGTCCCCACCCCACTCCCACTCCCTCTGTAACAATCCCAGTGTTCCCCTTCAACCACAGCCCCATCCGCGACACAGGAGCAGCTGTCCAGGCTGAGCGTGCTGGGGCTCTAGAAGCTGGAGTGGGCACCATTGAGTCCAGTGACCACAGCGGGAAGGAGGGAAGAATAGGTTTCTCTCAGCAGCTGCGGCTCTCGCGTTTGTCTCCCCTCTCCCTCCCAGAGAGTCAGGGTGCAGTCTTGCTCTGGCTGCGGGCCTGAAGCCAAACAGCTCTTGTCACACCGGCTTTGGACCTCTGCTACACAGATGTCTTTCCGCACCCCAGAATTCTGTTAATTTGATTCTTGTTTTCCTTTACTTTTACTTTTTCTTAAGTGCTACTAATGTAGAGAGTGAATTGTGCAATGTTGCTGTTCTGGGGAGTGGGGAGATTAGCATCCCATTTGCCCACACTGGGGGAGGGAGGGAGGGAGGGAGGGACCGGGCTGTTTTGAGGTTAGGGAAGCCCCCCCCCCAAGAACATATTCCCCCCGCCTCTCGAGCTCTGCAAGCTGTCTGAGTGCACTGGGGTTACTCTCAGCAGAGGTGTGAAGAATTAATATTTTGCCCTTGAAAGCCACCTGAGGAAGTTCCCTCGTTTTTATTTTTTAAAAATTAAGTAATTTTTTTAAAGTGAAAAGGCACTTTTAAAATTAACACACACAGACTGCACATCTTCCTCATAAATTTGGGGGGTAGGGTAGGAGGAGGAGCTAAATTAGGCTTTGTTCCCCCACTCTGGTCCTGACTCCCCACACCCCAGTCCCACTGTGGGTGAATATACTGGCCCTACGGGCCTTCCTGGCTTTTTTCTTTCCTCCCTTCCCTCCAACTCATTGAGCACTTAATAAAGGAGCAGAGATGCAGCCAGGGTCTGGGCTCCCCAAGTGGTGAAATGATCTGGAAGCTAGACGCTAGTAACAGGTAGTATTGGGTGGTGTCAAGTATTTTGGGGGAGTGTGGTACCCTGACTGTAAGTGGGAGAGGGAGGGGGGTTAATGGAACTGGGTCTGGGATTATTTTAAAATTATATATATATATGTATATATATATATATAAAGATATATTCTTACATCTTTTCTTTGCCCTCTGTGCTTTGAAAGCACTGGATGAATAGTTTGGTTTTGCTTTTCTGTCTTCCACAAAATTGGAAGCTTTTTAAAAAAATGTTTTTCCTACAAATCATCTTGCCTGTGGCATGTCTGTCTAGCCCCCCTCCCCGCGATAAAGTGCCATTTCTGTTATGTCTCCCTGACCCCAGCTCAGAGGTGCTCAGAGGTACAAGGTGCCCAGGTTTGTCAGTTGAGATTAAAAGTTAGGAGCAGAGAATGTGCAATACCGTCTAGCTGGGGGCTGTCCCTGCCCTGAGCTGAGCCCCTGCCCTGGGAGCCACGCGACCTTGAGTGGGATTTGGAGGTAAGACTCGAGGAGATGGGGGAGTCCGGGGAAGGAGAGCCGAGCCGGTCCAGGGCCTGCTCCACCGCCCAGGGCGGGACCTTCCCTGTTTTTTTGCCCCCTAGGGTCCTTTCCATAGAGCCGCTCGTGGCCCTCTGCGCAATCATTGAGGTTTGATTTCTTGCTCCGCCTTCATCATACCCTATCCAGGAATTCTTGCTGGGGCGAGGGCTCTGGAATCATGATAAAGTGTTAGCCTCACCCTCCTCTCCCCTTCCACCCTCTGCCTGTGTCCCCCTGGTGTGTCTTCACTTTCTTCCCCAGGCCTTGAGCCTCACGCCCTCCGGGTAGGAGGAAAGAGCTGTTTTCAGAGCTGCCCTGCCTCCCGGAGCTGATTGCTGGGCTGAGAGTGCGGGTCCTACCAGTTCTACCTGCTGCCTCCAGACCCCGGGCACCTGCAGTTCTTCACGGGTGGTGCCCCCCAGACCGGAAGTGGGTGGATTAGTGGTAAGGTGTGGGTGAAACGGGGTGGGGGGCAGAGGTCCTTATTTGTCAGTTTTGTCACTTAACCACAGCATCTGGACTCCCCATTGCTGGTATAAGTATTTTTCCCACATTTTTTTGGATATATGTATGGTAGACTTTTTGTTTTGAGACAGATAAGTGTTTTCCTGCTTTAGTTACCTTTCCTTTCCCCTTTACAAGGAATTAGCTATAGAACTGCTTTGTAAAGATGCTTCTTGTATTTTACTTTGGTTCCTTTCCCCAGCCGTTCCCTTTCTCTCAACCCTCCAGAAGGCATAAAACCCTCTTCCACCCCGTCCCACCGGCCCTAGGCTTCCCTCCTCCGCCAAGATCTTCATTAGCATATGATACTTGCTGCCGAGATGTTATAACAAGGACTCATTCGTGTATATAAGCTATTTCTTGATCCATTTAAAAGGAATTGTACATTGTGTAGAAAAAAAAAGTGAAAAGGAAAAAAAAAAAAAGCCCTAGCCATGGATATTGTGAAACTGTGTTACGTCATTTTGTAATGTGCCCGTTTGTGTACGATCCGTGCAAAAGGGTTTCTGGGGAAGGGGAGGGGGAGGGAGGCAG